ATACTGAACCACAGTAACGCTGTGGTGTCAGCAGCATGTGTGATGAAAGAAGCACAACATATAGAAGCGCTGTACAAATGTGTGTGTGAATGGGTGAATGTGGCTTGTAGTGTAAAACCAAATATATGCAACTTGAATTAAGAAAATGAACATACTTTTTTTTTGTGCCATGAAATATAAACAGAACTGTACTTCTTTTCTGTTTTCTGTCTTTTCTGTTTATTCTGTAAAAGTAGAATAATGAATCCTGTGAAAGGCTGAAAATCTACAAAACACACTTAATTGAATAATCAAATAATGAAAAAGACCTGAATAATACTGCTAAATGCAATTTGCCTTGAAAAGTACAAAAAAAGTTGTGACCTCATGAGAAGGGCACCACTAAGACAGGAAGGGGGAGTGAGAGAGACACATAATAAACTCTAATCGGGAGCTGAATGGTCTTAGTGAACTGAGCTCTCTCTCTGTCTCTCTCACTGTATCTCAGCAGCAGGAAGTCTTCCACTTCAAGAGGCCCCAGCGCAGAGCGGCGGCTGCGTGCCAGGATGTGGTGCAGCGCTGGCTGGAGGTTGGAGTCTCGGCGCTGCTAGGTGACGGCTTAGAGAAAATCCCTCTCCCAAATAGACGGCCTGGATTATACAGGGGGCAGGTCAGCAGCAATGACAGACAGGCAGAGGCTGTATAGATCATCGGTGAAGCACGATGCACTTCATGGAGGGAAAAATTATGTTTGAGCCTTCAGCTCTGGATTAACATTTTACTTCACCATTTAATTAGGGAGTTATTTGTTTAGTCACTTTCAAAGTGGGCACACAAGTCGGCCTTTCACCTCCTTTAAGCACAGGACGGGAGATAAAGCCCCAGAATAACATCTGTGTATTGCGTCGATCCTCAGACGGCTAAATTCAGCTGTATATGTGAATTACTTGTGTATTATGAACGTGGAGGCCCAGAGGCTCTACTGGTTCACTACACGTCCTACATTTGCACTGACATTAAGCTGCAGCAGGACTCCGTGGTTCACATCCAAGAAGATGTAGAGCTAATAGAGATGTGTCCTTTCACATTCATCTATGAGTAAAACACTGCAGTGAGCACTGCACCTACAAAATTGTATAATACTGCCATTATACTTCTCTCTGCATTTCTTCTTACTGTGCAATCGATATTCATGCAAACCACAGTGATATCATATTAAATTGACAATGAACTGCTGTCAAGTTCATCTGCTGCATTTTAGCACTGATCTGTCTGTATGTGCACTAATATGCATAATGGATGAAGTTGTCTGTGATATCTCTGCACCAAAAGTTAGACATGTAAATGTAAGAACATGCAAATGTTATACAAATGGGGACTTTTATTGTGTGGACTATTGGCCACACAATGGTGAAGCTGTCACAGGCGGCTGCACGCTGTCTCTGTTCCTCTTTAAAATACAGCGAGCTGATGAGTGTCAGATGTGTTGGTCAATGCCAGTCGCTGTTTTCAGCCTCTCAAGCACTGTTGCAAGCCTGTGGCAATTACAGGTAGAGGCTCATTGACCCCACCAGTGATACATTTCACATTGACGCAAGACAGCGGTATGAAAACAGGACAGTGGCATTGACCTTTACCCATCATCCTTTGCACGGCCGTTTGTCAGTGTGAGAGGTATGTAACCTCACAGTCCAGCCACCAAGGCACTAAGTGGTTGTTCATATATGCTGGTGGTCTAATTTATGAAGCCTCTTCTCAGACAACTGTATGTGAACTGTCCATACTTAATGCTTGCATGTGAAAGACACAGAACAAGCAGAACAAGCAAAGCATGAACACATCAGAGTAATTAGTTAAGAATGTGGATTAAATCCGTTAAAGAGCTTTCAGAGAACAACAATTAAACCCAACAACATTGAAAGAATCACATTGTTCTCTACTTGTATAATGTGAGCAGCTGATTAAGTACATTGTTTATATCAATAAACCTTTCTGCCCAGAAAAATGTCCGTTAATATGAACAGAAACAAACAGCACAAGATCCTGATTTATACTATTTTGAGACGAATTCAATCTGGAACTCTCTGACAAAAACACACTTTTCCTCGACAAAACAAACCAAAACACTGCAACACATAATATAAAATCATATGAGAATAGGAATAAAAAACTTTTATCTGAAGCAAAAGCTTCAGAGTAATGAAGTATTTTCTTAAATGATGCTCATTTGCTTTAAAGAATGAATCTTGATTGATTAAATTCCTGTATTTTATGTGAAGATAAAAAATAATTCCTTATAATTTGAAAAGTGAAAATTCTGATTTCGATTTTTAAGTACGTACTTCAAAGTATCATAAGTCCTCTAATAATTTCAAACTGCTGTTTAGTCTAGTTTGTTTTTAAACTGGGTTCTCTGACACTATATAGTCTGATATTGGAAACATAAACATATGATGTGCGTGTGTCCACAAGCATAATTTACATTAGAACAATAAGTTATGAGTGAATAGCAATTGCATTTGTTTATAAATGTAAACATGTTTTTCAAATTACTTACAAATGATATTTAAGAGAAAGTGACAGGGTTCAAAATTTTGTCCTGGGAAACAACTTTATGACTCTGGGTCCAAATGTTTATATAAACAACTGTATTGTTTCCATTACCCAGGCACATTTATGTGTTCAAGCTCTGTCTTCAGAAAACAACTTGATGAGCTGCAGTGTTACAAACAACCACATCTGACAAGTCACGCCATTTTGCCTCAGACTCAGAAATGAAACCACTGCGTGTTTCATATTATTCATGAGAGTGGCCGGATCAGAATTGGACCGGCCGGTCATCCATCTCCTTGTGTGTGTCCGCACTAGTAAAGCTTTAATAAATCACCAGGGCGGTGTGGGAGCACAGGGAGGGTGGGGGGCCCTCAATCGGGACTGAGGATGCCTTACAAAGCAGTCTGTATGACACAGAGAGGAGCGAGGGGCTGTAGAGGAGCGGAGGGAAGGACGAAGGAATGGCCGAACACAAAGGGCACAGAACAGAGGAGGCGACGCGGGACGGGGCTCAGGGATTGAATGCTCAAACGTGACTGTAGTAAAAAGGATTTAGAGTGGGACTCACAAAGAAAACAACTGGGTGATGTAGCTCCTGAGCTCAGAGCTGAGGTGGAATGAGGCAGGGAGAGAGATTGATTACCATGATTATTGGTCAATGAAAAGAGGCTGGGAAAATGTCTTATTCTGCAAATACACAACAAAGAACATGCCTGACACTGGGAGTGTCATTAAAGGTGAAGGTAAATATAACATCTATAGTAGCTGTATACATAGTGAAAAATAGTACAGAACTCCTCCAATATTTATACACAACTGAACAACCTCTATTCGCAGCCATGATACGTGTTTAAATAGTGATTGTTCAAAGTGAAGTGACTGGATATCTGCTTCTAACTAAATCCCTGATTAAAAAGCAAATGATGTGGCTGTTTCAATTACTTATAAAATCAAAAGCTCCTGCTTGTTCTAAAAGGATCCAGATTTTTGACTCGGGCTGCAGCAGTTTTTAAATTTGGCTGCCGTCCCAGTCGTTGCTGTTCATCCTCTCTAGCAGAAATGCACAAAAAAGGATATGCCGGTTACAGGGAATGACTAGACAGGATATCCAGTTTCCCAAAGGGGTGGGAGAGTGCACACATTCTGTGTCACTGAGTCAGTGCTCTCGCAGGGAAATCAGCCGCCGTCATAGCCGACCTCACCGAGCAGACAGAGGCCTGTTAAAAAATGCCTTTCTGCTTGAATCATGACGGCAAACAGAAGCCGGCGGTTGCTTGGCATGTCTCCCTCTGGTAGCCATGCCAAGCCGGCCAGCAGTGACGTGCATGGGTCAGCCAGGGAGGCTGCAGTGAGTCCTCAAGGAAGGGAAGCTGATATGACTAAGGGAGAGGAACAATGAAGCATGCAAAGGAATTTCCTCAAATAAGTGTGTGAAAGAACAGGATCAGTTGAGTTCACAGTCTTTGTGTGAATGCTGAGCAGCCACTCTGACATCCTTCATGTGAAACACTACCTTCAGTGTAACACTTTAACTGTGATGCTGTCATCTCTCCACTTTACTGTCAGATGAGACATCGGCTAATCACAACCAACGGGGGAAGAAAAAGCTTCACTGAAAGTGGTGGGGAGATGAAAATAACTCCATGATCCTGTCTATCAACTGACTCAGAGTACAACTGCACTCATGTGATTCTGTTTTAAAACATATAACCTCGGCTGAATCTGTTTCCCAGAGCCATCTTCAAATATCTTGTTATGTCAAACAAACGGGTCTAAGCCCAAATATATTCTTCTTACACTGATTAGAAACAGGAGAGCAAACCTACATTCATTACAAAGAAGAAGCTGGGACCAGGGAATGTTGTTTAAAATGACTGAACTATTAAAGAAAGATAAATAGAAAATAGTTTCAGACTTCAGTCTAGTAAGGGTTTCATCTCTAATGTTAAATATTCCCTGTTCGAGAATTGTGTTTTTTCTTTAAACGCAGCATTGTTTATGTGTTCAGATCTGATGTAGAACAACATTTCGGCTTATAAACTGTACCACGGATACGTTGACCGTGTCAACCACTGACCTTCTGACTGTTATGTGCACTATAAACAGGATTTAATGACAAATCAAAAATGAGTTTTCCCATAAAGTTCCCACATCCAGGGAACATGTCTGTGATATATACTATACAGGGAAATGTTGTATTTAAGATTCCTTTTCATTCTGTGCATCTCAAGTGAGAGCAGTGATGATAGGGGCCCACAGAACAACTGACAAAAAATGAATGGAGGGTGACACTTCACTTTTTCAGGACCCTAAATCCAGCACTTCTGTTACAGCACTTCAAATGATTCATGCTCACTTGCATCAGGATGGAAATGATTGTGCTACAATGAAAACATACTCCAACTTTGTGTAGGGACTGCATACATGTATGCATAATACATTACTTCACATAGGTGTACTTCACCCACCTTCTTCTGTACTCGTCTCTCTCCCTCTTGACTTTGGCCAGCACGTTGTACAGAGCCCTCAGTTCTGGGGTGATGGTGTCTATCTGGACCCCAACTCCGTCCGGGTGCGTCCACGTCACCCCGGGCCCGTGCAGGGTCTCGAAGCGCTCCCCTTGCCTCCGGACGTGGGTGAAGCTCCAGATGGTTCCGGGCAGCCGCGACTCGGGGCCGTCCGTCTGCACCGCGACCTCCCGGGAGTAGAGGTGCCGGTACTTCGTCCTCTGCAGAGCTTGCTGGAGCTGGCCTTCCAGCAGCTTGTTCCTCCTCTCCAGCTCGTGGACTTTGGCGAGGAAGCAGCGGAATCGCAGGTTGAGGGTTTTGAGCACATGGATGTTGGAGCCCAGGTCATTACGCAGGGCGCTGGTCGCCGCGCCCGACCCGGCTGCGGCGGGGACGTTGCACACGGGACCGGGCGGAGAGTCGGAGAAATACAACGAGTTCATGCTGGCAAAACAACAACAAAACCCTGTAATCCAAACTGTGTGCTCTGTCCGGTTTAGACGCAACAACAAAAACCTGTTGTTGTTTTTTGTTTATCTGTGCATATTCCTCCTTCCCAGTTTCTCCTTACAATGCAGATGCTGGGGTGGACTGCGCGGCTGGAGACGGGGTGGCCATCACTGACCCTGCTGGATGTTTACCCCGAGATACTAACATGGAAACCACCACCACCTCCTCCCAGAGAGGGTGCTCAAAAGCAAGTGATAAACCCGGGGAGTCCTTCAGGAGCTACCGAGGGCATCATCTCCTGGAGCAGCGAGAGTTTTGACGCAGACCGCAGTAGGAGGCACCGGCACCGGCACTTGTGTCCGTCAGCCTCATCTCTGTGTCTGCTGGTCTCTGTGTGAGGAGCCGCTGGTGCTGTGCGGGTTCATATAGTGAGGGAAAGGGTCCACCTTCTTTTCCTGATCATTCCCGGCTCACTGGGGCTCAGTCTCCTCCATGTGGTGCGCTGGGGCGGCAGGTGGCAGGACCGCAGAGCCCGGCCTCTCGCTGCTGTGCGCGGATCATGTTGCAAAGTGCTAAACTCGGCTCTGTGCACCACCGGCCCCTCCCACTTCTCTCCTCCCCCTGTTCCTCACCCTCTCTCACCCCTCATGTGAGGCATTACATCCCGGCTGAAGACATCAACACAAGCCTGATTAAAAGGATAAAATAAACTGCCACTGCAACTACAGCAAAGCCTCTCCAGCTCATTTGGTTTTACGCATTGTATTGAGCGCTGTCATTTTAAAGTGATGAATGATTTTCCCTACAATGATGATTACTTCATATTCAATAATAATCATATTTTTCAGGGACTAACAATATGAAGACACTTCTATTTCCTCACAATTTATTCTCCTCCATTCCATTACTATAGCTATACAGTTATATAGCCTTTATGTGTATATACTTTAGTTTTTACTTTTCATTTGTAATTTAAAATACAACTTTTTCTATTCCTGTTTTATTCCTATATATTTTAATGTTTTAACTTATTTTATCTTATCTTATCTCGTCTTGTCCTGTCCTGTCCTGTCCTGTCCTGTCCTGTCCTGTCCTGTCCTGTCTTGCCATAGGTGCACTGTATATCACTTCATAGAAGAAAATCCCTTCCCGTTGTATTGGACAATAGAGGTTCTCTCATGTTTAAAGGGCATATGTATATGTTATAAGTCAGCCTATATTATATATGGATACAATAATACAGGTTGTGTCACGTAGACATACATATTCAGAAATACTGCCGTAGCCTGTTCTGATAAAACGTTTTGCATATAAATGAAAACACATAAAGCACATCTCTGTATGCTTGGTAGGATATTTTACTGCACATGTACTTGAGATAACTTAATACTTTTGGCTCATGAATTTACAATTATTTTATTTATTGATACAATTCTGTAACTCTCCTGATGCCACTAAAGGACATTCTTGGACATGTTGACTATAACGTCACTCACAGGGCAGAAATGGCAACTGCACTTACAAACCAAATAGACAAAACATTTTATGTGCAGCTGAATGAATCTGCAACTTTCCAGTTATATGCAATAGAACAAGAGGCTCAAATGTCTAAACGCAGCCAAGGACCTTACTTCACCTGCACACAGATCTTTGTAAATCTGTTTCTCGTTGTGCCATATGCAAGTTATTGCTTTGGCTCAGGAGACCTCTGGTGGGTTGTAACTCTTACTTCAGATGGTTGTTTGAACTTTATTCATATATTATATGACTGTTTTTGCTCCTGTTGGCTAACAGGCAGAGCAAATTCAGTAAATAAAATATCGTTATGGAAATAAACAATTCAAATATACTATATACACTAATTCTTCACTGTTTTCCATCTCTAGTTCTTTTCATTATCTTCCATATTAAAAAGTTAGTGTTGCTTTTAAAATGAAAACCATCACCGTCCGGAGTGTCTTCTCTCTGTATCACAAATAATCTGCCTCCTAAAAACTCTTTATTTATTTCTTTTTATTTTATTTTGACTCAGGCGCGTCTTGGTCAGCTTCGTCGAACAGAAACATTTGGGGTCCTTTTACTTCACGTGTGCGTCTGCTGCGCTGCCATCGTGAGAGGAAACCATGCCGAAGTCAAAGAGAGACAAGAAAAGTAAGAAAATATCCGTCAGACTGTGACACGGACCGACACATTTAGTGAAAATACACTGGACTGGTTTTGTTTGTAAAAACAACAACAGGAAATCAATGTAAGGGACGAAACAAGCTAACGTTAGCTTAGCTAACGAGTGAAATAGCAGTGGATTCACACAGTACTCTGAAGCTAACTCCGGATTCACAGCCTTCCCTGATCTGAAACTGTGTTTTACCAAGTCTTCAGCCTGTGTGAGGTTATTTTGTTCAGGGTTGACGAATCTAGGTTTAGCGGTTATTATCTAGACGTGTTCTGATCTCTTTATATCAGTCTATGGTTCTGATGTTGTCTGGGTTTGATCAAAGTTGCTAAATCTCCCTTTTTTCCTCATGATTTAAGTAAAGGTCTCCTCCACAAATCTGAAAGTGTGTTTCCTAAAATGTTACGACTTTAATCAGAATGTCTAACACCATCTTAAACTTAAAAAATGAACTTAACTTTCCACTTTAGTTGTCAATCTAAAATATAATTGCTAACTTATTGTTATTACTATATTCTCTGTCTCTCTCAGTTTCGTTAACGAAGACAGCCAAAAAAGGGCTCGAGTTAAAACAGAAACTAATCGAGGAGGTGAGTGTTCTGGTCTCATGTCATCTATATTTGTATAGTGTTGTAAGAAGTTTGCTCAAGCTGTTGATATGATTCACACTGAACTATGCTCCTGTTTGTGTTTATAGGTACGAAAATGTGTGGACACCTACAGACACTTGTTCATCTTCTCTGTGGCCAACATGAGGAATAACAAGCTGAAAGACATCAGGACAGCATGGAAACACAGCAGGTAACATGGCACGTGAAGCAGCCCGTTGGTTTTTCATTTCAATTCAGGCATCAGGCATCTTTGTCATGGTGTGAAAACCGTGGTGTGATGTCTTATGTTTTTGTTGGCGGAGCTTTTTAAAGATGGTGTCTACAGGATGATCTTGGAATTACAAATTGTTATTCAACAACTTGTGTTTAAAGTGGGGGATATGGAGTTTGAAGGAGTCATTAGTCAGAGAGTTGTAATATAGAAGTTAAGCTATATTGGCTTCTTATGCTTTTTTCTTTGGTCTTCAGCAAACCTCCCAACTTCATTAAAGCTCAACACCAAACACAGGAGTATCCTTTGAACAGGGGCCGCAGGAAAGATTTAACTCTCCTCTCTATTACAGGTTCTTCTTCGGCAAAAACAAAGTCATGATGGTTGCCTTGGGTAAAGGAGAAACAGACGAATACAAAGATAATTTGCACAAGGTGGGTGAGATCTTTCAGAATGGTGTCAAGTCATAAAATATCACGACAACTTCTGGTATCTGTTGTATGTGCTTTACTTTGTACTGCTTTTGATAATCTGTAGGTCAGCAAGCATCTACGAGGAGAAGTTGGTGTACTATTCACAAATAAAACAAAGGATGAGGTGCAAGAGTAAGTATTGCTTCACAGACCACGGTTGTTGTAATAATTATTAATCAGAATTTAGCTGAATGACATTCTTTCTTCATAGGTATTTCAATCATTTCAAAGAGATGGATTATGCGCGAGCGGGCAACCCAGCACAGATGGCCCTAACTCTGGATGAGGGACCCCTGGAGAAGTTTCCTCACTCCATGGAGCCCCAGTTGAGGCAGTTAGGGCTCCCCACTGCTCTCAAGAAAGGCAAGATAAAAAATATTTGAGTGCAACGATGAAACAGTCATTGTTTTATATCCTTTGGATCTGTGACATTTTCTTCTACTGTAATTCTAGGGGTGGTGACACTGCTGAAGGACCATGAGGTCTGTAAGGAGGGAGATGTGCTCACTCCTGAGCAGGCTCGCATTCTGGTGAGTTCCTGAGCGTTAAACTAGAGGAGACATCAACAGTGTTTCAATTTTCATTTGACTAAAAGTTCAACCTTGTTCCAATTTTTTTCCCCACAGAAACTCTTCGGTATCGAAATGGCAGAATTCAAAGTACAGATCAAATGTATGTGGAACTCAGAAACGGGCGAACTTCAGAACTTTGCCGGTGTGGAGTCTTTGCAGGAGAACGAGGATGACGATGACGACGATGATGGTATTGATGCAGAATAAAACATCTGGATCAGCAGGGGCTTGTACACGTTATAATAAGTCGTTTTTTGCCAACCTCAACACCAAAAGGACTTTGATGTTGAAACCATTCACCCTGACAGCCTGTGCTGTGTGTGGACTCTAGTCTTTGTCCTATGTCTTTTATTCACCCCAAACACCTTGAATTTAAACTCTGGGCTGTTTTGCTGTTAAGGAGATACTCATCACTGGATTCAAGACTCAACAACCAAATTATCTTGACGCCACTTGTCAAGATTTGGAAACATACTGACAAAATGTCTTGTATTGCATTCAAGTACTTTGTCATTCACCTAAAACAAACATACTGTTTGATATGTGAGGCCACTCATTTGATGCATTTTATGTGGAAGAAAACATTTTTGTTGATTTAAGAAGTTTTATTTTCTTTTTATTGTAACAGTTTAATTAAGGCAGACTCTACTAAAACTTTATTTCTCCCTTGTCATTTTTACATTTATACATCAACAGTGTCGTGCTCTTTGACATTAACACATGTAGGTTTCTAATAGATTCATTCAAAAGAAATTAAGAGTTTGGGAAAAAGAAGCACAAGTATCTACGATCACCGGGTCTCTTGCAGATCTATTTTCTGTAAAAACTTGGATAGGGAGATTTTGGCTCTGAGGTGAAAAGAGGGTCTTCATCTAAAGTAGTTTGGACACTCGTGGGCTACAAGATTCCAGGCTTCATCGAAGGCAGCGACCACTCTGTCATCCAGAGGACCCTCCTCTGCAGCATCCAGGTTCTGCAGGAGTTGCTCCATGCTTGACATGCCGATGATGACACCATCTCCAAGATCCCCCTGTAACAACAGACGATAGGAGATAATTTTCAAGGTGGCACACAGCATTTTCCAAACCTACGAGTCAATCTTTGACTCTGTAGTTTCAAAGATAGATGAACAGTAACTGAACAGATACTTTTAGGTGGTGAAACAATTGTATTTTAGCATAAACAAATTTGACTGATGACCATCTGATGTGAGGTAATTGCATTTGTCCACATAAGTTTAAGTATTGACTATTTCTAAAAGATTTGCTACTAATTAAATACAAAACAACAGAAACGTGACCAAAAACTACAACAGGGCTTAAAATCTTTATGATAGTAATATATGGGGGGGCATCATGTATTTAATGAAACCGTGATATGCTAGATCACTGGTCATTTATCTACTACTAGAAAATGAGGAATGGAAAGTCATAAAACTGATGATAAAAGATCTTTAGAATGAGTTAAAGGTCCAGTTAAGTTCCTGTCATTTTTCAATGTGGGCGACGGCCTGTTAAGATTCTTGGTTCATCAGTCTGAATAAGATGTCAGCTCAGGACCTATTCAGTAATTGAATACAAAAATGAAACTTTGTTAAGAATAAGATAATTATCCTCATGTGAAATTAGTAATTATGATTTGGAGTTTGATAATCTGCTGTATATCATAATCTTCCCAAAATTAGCAACTGACAGAACTAAATCAAGTCTCAGCAGCTTTCATTGCACAGTTGCTTAAGTTACCTTGAGTTGGGAGTGGTGGTACATCCAGCGCATAGCAGCAGACGTCAGGGTGGGTTTTTCTGAGCCGTACACTGACTCCAGCATCTTTAGAACCAAGCTGATAGCATGGAATTGACTTTCCTTCCAGTATCTAACACAGAAGAAGACAGTCGCTATTACAGTCTGTGCCTTATCAACACACTGATGTAGAAACTAAAGACTTAAGAACACGAATGATGTGGCTTGTGAAGAATGTCAAAAACAAACTGCAGGTTGTTTACCTGTCTCTATACGCTGTGGCCCAGTTGTTACCAAAGAATCGTCCTGCAGGCTGGGAGCCGTCTTTGTCTTCGTAATGATACTTCCCTGTCAGAAGGCCACCTGGACGAGGATGGGCAATGTCACAGTTCAAGTTTACATTTTCTGGAATACTTGTAATTATGTAGTCAGAGCTGTCACTCAAACAAAATTTAGGATTTCCATGTTACATTTTGAGAACAAGACTTCAGTCAAACATCCAACGCTGTAAAAATGTTTTACTTTAAGAACAATTGTGCTTTAAGCTACAGTAAATGCTTATGTCATGGCAACCATTCATTGTGTTGGTGTGCTATGCTAAAATTTACTATTTAGTGCTAAAAACAAAGTGTGGCCATCACTTGTTTTTCCAATTCAAAGCAGAGTACTGGACAAACACAAAATTTGACCCGTTTAGAGGTTACGACAGTTATTGGAATTCATACTGAATATTGAATATAAAATGTTTGAGCCAAATTTGTGACTGTATCAAATTATACAGTAGATTAGTACATTCTGACATTTTTCAGTAAAAACATGGATTTATCATCTGGGGACCACAAATACTTGTTCGGATATTTCAGTCTGGACCAAAGTGACCGATTCATTAACTATCCAGAGATACATGCATGACAAGTGTAACGTGACCTTAAAATGAGGTGTAGGACGTGAGGAGACACATTTATCGCAACTCGTGGGTATTTTCCTCCTGAATCAAATAGAAATGTGTCCGTTAGTTGCACCACAGGGACAGAGAGATGAACAGCACCTGCCAGAGGATTGTACGCGTAGAATCTCATTCCGTAGTATCTCAGACAAGGCAGCAACTCCGTCTCCACCTGTCTGGTTGTGGCATTGTACATCCCCTGTGAATGAGGGTGAGCAAAGAAAGGGAACATTTCTCAATACAGTGAAGGATGCTTAGCCTCCGTGACACAAACTACTTTAATGTCCAACTCACAGCTTCTCACACAGGGATGCAACAGACATGCAGTATATTTAGCAGCTGATTTACTCTAAGGTGACACAACTGATGGGAGATGTTACTACAGTGTCATTTTCAAAAGTGCCAGAGTACCTGATAAACAGTGGGCACGATCCAGTTGTTGTGTCTGCAGATGGTCACGATTTCAGCAACTTCCCATGAAGCATAATTCGACAGGCCAAACTCCTTGAATTTTCCCTGAGGGTGATTTATAACATTGAATCACATGTAATGAAGTGATGTGGAGTAGAAGCGTAGTGTTGCAACATGATAGGTATAGCATCATCTACTGATTTGATCATTTATACACAGCAGACAGATGTTTCTCATAGAAGATGAGGTCTCTGGTGTCTGCACCTCTTTGTGGAGCTCATCACAGGCCCTCAGAGTGTCCTGGATGGGGTTTTGGTGGTCCGGGGCATGGAGGTAGAAGAGGTCCACACAGTCGGCCTGCAGCCTCTGAAGGGAGGTTTGCAGCTGGGAGCGCACACTCTCTGGCTTCAGCGTCTTCCCGTCCCAGGGGTTGGCCTTGGTCGCGATGCTTACTGTGACACAGAGACAAAGAATCGAAAAATTGAAAGAGTTTATTGTAGAAAACAGACGTATTGGTTCTTCACTACAAGTATAAAGCTGAATATAAACCCTGACAGCTTGCATAAGGTTTAAGGGGATGTCATTGAACACTGACCATGTCATGAGAGTTTTATTGCTTTGACATTTTTCTGTGAGGTCACTTGAGTGCAACACTAATATCTGAAGAAAGCTGATGGCTTATGGAGCACAGGCGTAGTTGTGACAAAATCGAATCTGTTTGCTGGCAGCAATTTAACTCTTTAATCTATTCATCTACATTTACTTGTCTTTTCTGTGCACAATATGGTCAACACATTTATTGGGGACATGTTGACAGATTCTACCTGTGCCGGGGAGCTTCATGCCGCCGATGATCGCCTCAGACTTCCCGTCCACGTACATGAATGCTGTGTCCACATGTCTGTGTCCTCTCCCCAGGAACCTCTGCACCATCTCCAGACTCTGCTCGGCGTCAGCTCGGCCGCCGAACGCCATCGACCCCAGTAAGGACGCGGGCCGCTTCGCTTGTGTCGCCATGTTCCTTCCACACACGAACCTCGGCGAAAGTACCGGCACGTCTCTGATCGCGAGGATCTGTTGGAGCTGTCGCGCTCCTCCTGATATTCTCCTCCTCATGATCCTCGACGAGCGACGCGAGGGCAAAGGTCGTGGAGGAGGAGGAGGAGGAGGAGGCTGATCAGGGAGCGTCGTAAAGTTACTGAACCACTTTAAAACGCAACACGCACATTGAAAGCTGATGGTTAACGTGGCTTCTTATCTTTGTGGTAGCGGAGCAAGAGCAAAGTTCATTATCTCTCACTACTTCCTGTTTTGTTTAGACCCACGTGTTAATGTTTACACGAGTATCTTCGTTACACAACGTGTAGGTGACTTGTCAAAGTCCTAGCACGTAGGTGCTGCACTCCTTATCTTTAACCACAAGGTGCCAGCAAATCCCCACATTTGATCAATCGTGCTAACGATACTAAAGTTTCCCATGACTAAGATAAGATCAAACTTTATTGATCCACACAGCGGCGAGATTCAGTTGTGACAGCAGCAGCAGGAAGGTCAGAATAAGGGAGGCAAGAGTTTACAAATGTTTTTCAAAAGGCAGTAGAATAAAAAATAAATTAAAAAAATGCTGACTATGAACATAATATACACCTTTCATTGTAGTGGTTTGTATAGAAATGTTCAGAAGTGAAGTGCAAGTAGAATAAACTGCAAATAGTATAAGTGACATGAGAGAAAAAACAGCGCAGAAGTTTATTTAAATTTTTTTTCAAAGATCTCAGCCATGCAGATGTGATGGAGTTAATCCACTATCAACAAAGCAGTTGTTTTTAGTATGTACGTTTGAGTATTTTTACATGGGACTACTGTAGACTACTGTAAAAAAAAAGATGGCGGAGAGGGTCCCCTCGATGTAAATATAAAGTATTCAAATATTAGGGGGTAAAGAAAACTACAATTCACACAATTTAGATGATGCGAACTAGTGAAAACATCATGAGGATTATTCTACATTAAATTTCTGCCAACAGTTCCCTTTCACCTAAATCTTACACACTGGACCTTTAACCGTATCAGATGTTGGGCCCAGTAGATCTTCACTCCTGCGCCTCTCAACAGGTTGACAGTCATGGATATTCTGTGTGTTTTACGGCTCAGAAATCAACAAACAAAGAAACGTGATCACTACATAACTCAGTGAACTTGTTGCAGTGAAAGATCTACATCCCAACTCTGGCAGCAACACATCTTGTGTCTGAGAGGCCCTGATCTAATTCAAACAACGTGCCGTGTCGCCTCCACCCTCGCAGGGTGCAAGGACGGCGGTGACCCGGGACTGTTCGGGGTCACGAACACACAACATGAGCAGCAATGAACGCTTTGTTTGGGGGAGCAGCGGTAGTGGGTGCTGGCTGCTGACCCTCTGACCGCACCATCAGCTGTTTGCCCTGCAGAGTGAGCGTATAGCTTCTCCAGACCCCTGCACCCCCCCTGCTACCACCACAAACATCCTCTGGAGACTTTTTACATCACGTCTAGATGGTCCCACACCAAACAGGAGCACTTGGCATCCTCCTACGCGCAGACCTCTGTGCGTCAGAGCGCGCAGACTTCGTCCAGTGCGCACAGCTTCAAACCGTTTTCCTCATTACTTGCTTACTGAGCCAAATTAACTTACCATGGTTGTGGGAGGGAATATCATCACATAAAATAGGTCTAGTTGGGCGTCTAGTTGAATAACATCATGGCAGAAAATTCCTCGAGTGGCAAGTCAATGAAATCTTATTGTGCGTTTTTATCCAAGTAAAGTGAATTTTTTTAAAATTAAAATGAAAAACTCTCAGCTATGTCAGTGCACTTTGCAGACGGTGGAGTGTCTCATAGGTTTCAGAGGCTTTGAATAGCAGAGGCCACTCTTGGTGTCCTCCCCTCCATACACCCTCTCCCCCCACCCCTGCCATCATTACCAAGTCAATGGAGGGAGCCAGGGAGCTCGCAGCCGCCGCGAGTCTTTGCCCAGTAAATCCAACATCTGTCGAGAGGGAAGCATAGGTGAGCTGCAGTTTTCAGTCAGTATCACCCTCACACCGGCTCAGAGCGAGATTACGCACCACATGTGATGGCTGTGTCATCTTTGGTCACTGTTGGTCATTTCCACGCGGAAGATCCTTTACGCGCCGTTTAATTTCATTGGAGACCGTTTGGATGATTTCTTCAGTCCATTAGATTCGTTTTTTTTTTCATTTTTAAACCTCTGATCTAACCTCATGACTGAGTTCATGATTTTTAAAACTTTAGTCTAATCCAAGAAGAGGAAAATGGATGGTGTTATTTTTTCTTTTTTCTTAATATTTATCCAAGAGGCACACACTTTGCGTTATGGCACCGCCAACGACCTGCAACCATATATGTGAGTAACCTTCTTTCATATGTTTCTTCAATAAATTATTTAAACATTCTTCAGAGGATGTTTTCCTTTTAACTTTACCAAGGTGTTTTTACAGCCTCACGTTTCCTTTTGAAGTATGAGCATGAGAAAACTGCTGGTTCACCTGCACATGCACTAACTTGTGCCAAAGACTCAAACAGAAGGATAAAACATGCTTGTGTTTTTTTCACATGTTTCAGAGGAATCAAAGAGCAGCTGGATCACAGATCTGTTCTGTAAATTTCAATCTGCTATTGGATGTCAACTTTCACATTGTTTTCTATCTACCTGGATGATTATATATTGTGGATGTGCATTGCATTCCTAAGTCTGTCAGAGGTGGTTAGTTTTCTCAAAGCCAAGCACCAGTTTGTTGTAGCAGGTATTCAAACCACCAAAATAATAAATGCACAGCTTTAAATTATGTGAGAGGAGTTTCTCAGCTGTGCCACTAACTGTAAGGTTTTTCATATGCAATTATGCAGACAGGTGGTGGTGACAGTGATTACTATTGTTTATGAGATGAGCAGCTGCATGTTGTCTCAAGATTCCTGCTGATCTCCATACGTTTCCTGTCCGTCCTTGGAGGTTTACCAGAGGAGTAAACTTTTCACTGTCCTCAGTCTGTCCAGCAGTGTGAAGACATCAGTGGCACCTCACAGAGACAGACTTTGTTTAAAAAGGACAAAACATCACAGTTAGACAGCTCATCGTTTTTTACCTCAGGGTGAAAACTATCTCGTCTTTCTGCTGACGCTCAGTCTCGTATACGTACAATCAAGTGGAAATGTTTATCTTCTACTGTTTTTCCTGTGAAAACACTTCAAAATGTTTCACCTGAATCGTTTGGAAAGTTTTGCCATGATTTTGAAAATAATAAATTGAAGTGGTAACTGTTTACAGAGGTTGCAATTCATATGCTTTTGTTTCCTGACAAACCTGGCTCACATCTAAAACATATTTTAACTTGTCTGGTTATAATTTTTGTCTTTGATTTTTCTCTGTTTTGTTTATCTTGTTTTGCTTTCATGTCCACGCCACCCCCTGAAAGTCTTTCTGGTAACACATTTCAGGAGATTATTCAGTTTAAGTCAGACTACAGGCAGTAACTTGTGCTCAGCGCTCAGAGGGGTGATGTCTGAGGAATTATCTTTAAGTCTTTAAAAATACAAAAACCAGACAGTAAGAGCAGCTTTGCACCTGAACACAGGTACTGCCCTCACAGGCTTTAAGTTGGTCAGCGCTGAAAACCCTCAAGCTTCGCCTGTCTATCTTTACATGCACCATTTCTTGCAGCGCTCATAAATTCCCTCGCTGCCATGTGTTCATCTGTAAAAACAACGCAGAGCATTTTGACATGTTAAGTATTTTTACAACTGCTTTTCATTGCAGGCCCAATGTGTGTGTGGAGAGGGAGGTGACACTGGTAGCCCAGAGGCAGCCGTGTGTGCAGGCCTTCACACGCATGGTTAAAGTGTGGAAGCAAGGCTGTGTGGGGCAGTCGTGGTGCATGGGATACGAGAGGAGGTGAGTAATACACCTTGCTTGGAGTCTGTCTACTCCACCGTTTCAAATCCTTTGGCTCTGTTCCTCCTGCAAACACTCCCAACGTCACCTGCAGGGGATGTCATGCTGCGTTGACTAAGCTCCAGCTACAACAAAGCATTAATTAATGGTTTTGTGTGATTTGCAAGAGTTATGCAACCAAAAGAATTCATCACATAGGGCAGTATCCGACAGGATGAGCTCTGACTCCTTGATCTCCTCCTTCCTCTCTCCTCTTCATCTCTCTTACTCTTGTTCTGTAATCACTGCTTTAAACCTCTCATATCAGTTTAAGTGCAAGGTGTAGCCCCACTTCACCCGAGTTACCATCTATTTAACACTCAGTCGTCCCTGCAGCCAACATTCCTTTGAAGCAGGGTCCTAATGCTAACACTTTAGCCTGTCTCTCTGAGTCAGTGTGAGGAGTCCGCCGCTCACACTCGCTTTCTGCGCGTTATTTACCGTGTTACCAAGTCAAAGCTCACTTTGAAGGCAGCCAAGGCCACAATTACTCGCTGTAAACGGAATGTGTTCCCACAATGTGTAATGAGTATGGAGCAAAGAGAGGGGTCTCAAAGTACAGGGAGAGGACAGTGTCACACTCAAAAAACGTTGTCTTTAGAGTCTGGGAAAAATATTTGCTGAACAATATGCTGCACCTTGCTTTAAGACTGGGAGCTTTTTGAACAGGGAGAATCTTTATTTTTCCTGATCTAGACATATGGAAATCTAAGAATTAATGCATCAAATATTAAGTCAACCCTAATGCTTATATGCATGTATGGTCACCATAGACCGTATATAAAGATGTCTCCAATTCTTCCTGTTTAGAAATGAAGCTGAAATATCCTGGATACAAACGCTACCATCAGTGGCCGCAGTGTCAAGGCTCCGTCAATACACACTCTAGACCAATCATTAAGCAAACTCAGCTGTCAATAATAATATTCAATCAATCATGATGTTTCCCCTAAATATTTATGGCATCAAATAACTTAATAAAATCAAGCTTATGAGAAAAACAAATACTTAAACTACCTGAAATGACAGAAACTATCTTTGAGAAAAATTTGATGTGTGCTTTGAATTTTTAGTTTTATCAATGTCTCATCAGTGACCTGGAGATAGTTAGCACAGAACTATTTTCTGCTCTCGAGATTTATATTTGCCACTTCAGAAAGTTTCAAAGTTTTAACGTAATATTTTTCATTTGAACAGGACGGCATACTACACGGCATACAGACAAGTGTACAGACAGGATTATGACACTGTGTACAAGTGTTGCCCTGGATGGTCTCAACTTAACGGAGAAGCGGGTTGTCTTTATCGTAAGTATCCTTGTTCCTTATGTTTTTCTAAAAGTTTATCAGATTTGTTATTGATATGACCCTTTTATGTGAAACAGATGGAACATGGAGGTTGGTATGTTTGAGATGTGTCCCCAGCTCTTGTGTTGTTTCTATAGACTGTGAGGACGTAGACTTTAGGTCTAGAAAGTGAAGCTAATGCGGAAGGGTCTGAAATCTGTATTCTCTCAAATGACCAACAGAGGCTGATTCCAACTGTTGCAAAAAGAAGTCCATCTCACAATGGGTGCAGGTTACAGGTGTAGGTGAAGTGTCCTCGAGCTCTTAATCACACTCATTCCCCACTCCTCAAAATATGTTTACTTCTGGTTTAAAAGAAAAAACAAAAAAACAAAAAAAATGGCGCAAAATGCAAAACTCGAGGCTTTAGCACGGCAGCTCATAAACCAATGGGTGACATCATGGTGGGTTTCCACTTGATTTTTATATTCCCACATGGTTTGAATGTGAATGCTGGGAGAATAATCCTCCAGTGGTTAAAGTGTTGACGTGTGAACATTCATCAACAGTTGAATGTGAGTGAGGTCATGGCTCTGCAGCGTGGATACAGCATTGTCTGGCACTTATCATTTGCTGGATACTTTACTTTTACATGGTGCAGCCCTGCTCATAATGTTGCAGTGTGTTTCAATCATCCAGACAGTTATGCCACTTTCTTCACGCGGAGGTGTGACATTGGAAGTGCAGGTCAGAGGATTCAATTATGGCAGAGAAGACAGACCGGCCGTCCAGTGTTTACTCCAACCAATCACAGTGAAGCCCTCAAAACAATACCCATCAGTGGAGACCACCCGCTGTTCTTCATCAAAAGAACAAAGAGAAACTAAAGTGAATCCTCTCTCCGTAACTCTGACTCTCTGATGTCCGTGTGTGGACAAGTATTTCTGCTGGACACACTGAAGCTGCCAGGAGCTCATCCCTCTTGTGGATAAGCTTAGCTTCACACCACTGAGACCAAGAAGCCTCCTTTGATGGGATTTTACAGCCAGTGATCCAGATTGCATAGCCTGCATACCATAAACTCATGGTAAAGACCCATGGTAAAGACTTCCTGTAAACAGTTTGTCCCCTGTTCGGTTGACTGACAAGTAAGTTCCCACTACCCTGTCCCATGTGCCCTGCCTGGAAACACTGTGTGAGACAGCTCTCACACCCCCAGTGCAGACACATTACTCTGTGGGGCAGCCACCCGATGGGAAGTGGCTGAGCCGGGGAGCAGGAGAAGATCTCCTGGATGCGCCTGTCATCAGTGTCTTATTATGGCATCAGCGCTCTCTTCAAAGCGCCCTTTGTGTCCGGGGAGAAGGTTACAGTATTAAATTATACAAGGAAGCATTGCTCTGTCTACTTTTCACTGGGTCTGGTTTGTTTTAAAACACTCATAAAGAAATGTCTTAAAGACCCATCCTTCAGGACAGTGTCTCCCCTCACTTTAAGTAGACGGCAGGGTTTTGTTTCACCTTTCGCGTGACAATGGCTGCTCTCTTCGACATGAGGCAGGGCTTTTATCTCTGTAACCAAAGAAGCAACCGCACTTTGAGATGGGACAAACTAATCACCCTTTTCTCTGAGCCATTGAACCCGGATAAAAGGAAACTCACGCCACAATCCTCCCTCTCCCACTCCTGCGCACTTTGCTATGCGCTATCTGTACTGTACCTCAGTCAACACTGTACAATCTGTGGAGGCGGTTTTCAACAGCGTCTTCAACATCCAAAAGGAAAAAAATCTGCCCTGCAAAAATCTACAGCTTTGAACAAATCCCCTGAAAAACACCCAAATGAGAAGAAGATGGGAATGCTTTGTATTGAGATAGTGATTTAGTGTCTGGCACTAAACTTCCTTCTCTCTCTGTGTGTTCCCTAATAAAATGTCAGTGTAAGGTAATTAGGCTAACGACCTGTGGGTATTGTGAGGCATTAGAGTGGAACTGAGGGTCTAATTTAGTTGTAGATGCAGCACACACAGTGGCTGAGAAGTGACAGGTTGAATAGTTTGTCATTCCTTCTCTTCAGTTGTCCATTGTGTTCCATTGTACAGATGTTGACATCCTCTTACAATATTGAATTTGTTGTGCTCTCCAGCTTTCTCTGCTTGGCATAGTTAGTCACATATTTGGGGAATATACCAAAGCAGAGCTGCTGTTTTCCATATCTTTCTGTTTCAGGCTACTATCATTTAATTATTATGGTTTGTAAGTTTTCCAGTTACACAATGGCATTGATTAAGAGCGGCTTGCAAATATTTTATAAATATATATAAAATATATTTGGAGTTTTTGTTTTCCAACTTTTGATGTTTTCCAGCATCATTACACAAAGAATATTGCTCATCGTGGGAAGTCAAACTAAAGCTGTTGCAGTTCTTTCACAATATAGCCATGGACTTGTGCAGAAATGAAAATGAACGCTTAATTTTTATTTTCATTAATGAATTGGCAAATTTTGAATCTTGATTTCGTTTGTTAGTTTAAAATGATATTTGAACAAAACTGCCAGTCACCAAAGTATTTAAACATTAATTCTCTGTATTATTTAGATCTAATTAGCCAATTATCTATTCAATAGTTTTATAATCTAAGACTTTTTGTCTTCAAAGTCAGAGACTTGTGGAGGCAGACTGGATCGTCTGAATACCCCCCCCCCAAGTCCAGCTGAGGAGACTTTTGTGTGTTTTGAAAAGAATCCAATTGGCTCTATGACTATCTCGTCCTCCTGAAGGTGAAGAGCTCTTGACTCTGTGGTGGCGACTTCCTCCACTTAACTGTTTGCAGGGCCACTCAATCAAAGAGTTAAACCTTTTTACCTCGGCCAGTAGCCACGGGCCGGGTGAGGATCGATGGGGTTAGCCCCAGCTAAAGTGGAAACAAGCAGTTATGTTGATTGACGGCAACAATAAGCTTTGTGACAGGGGCTGAGGAGCAGCGACAATGGCTTTTCCAGTTTGTTGTCCTCGTTAACTGCTCAGTGGGAACTGGCCTCCTTTTGTGGCGGGACCAGGCGGGTGAAGGTACATGTGAAATAGGCTCAGTAGGCAGGAAAGAGGAAATGGTCTTCTGTCCATGGGTGGTCTGTGTGCGTGTGCGTGTGTGTGTGTGTGTGTGTGTGTTTGTGTGTGTGTGTGTGTGTCTGTGTGTGTGTGTGTGTGTGTGTGTGTGTGTGCGCGTGTGTGCAGCATCAACCATTATGTCAGCAGTCATGGGGGCCGCATCGTGCACAGCTAAACACAAATAGAAACGGACCCAGATCCATAGAAAGGAGCAGACAGAAATCACCCAACTGAGACATAACATGGAGAATTACACACCAACACAGTTGTGTGATTAAATAGTTTGTTCCCTGTACATACGGCCCCTGGTTACACTGACATGGTCCTTTTGATCTCGTGAGTAATGTTCAGGAAGGAAATTTAAGGTCAGTGGAGTATACCCAAAACAAAACTGACACATTTTTTAAGAGTGTGTGGAATAGCTGTCAAATATCAGGTGGAGATCAACAAACTGAGGACTATTGTAGCTGTAAATGCAAAATGTAAGATCTTGTTATGGGAGGCGATTGTGGAATTGAACATTCCTTAGAGTGAGAGTCCAAAGCAAACATGATTCTCATAGTCTTCAGACATAGGCCCAAAGAAATCGAATGACTGCTGCTGAATAGTCCTCGAGACACAAATGTTAGAATATGTAGCACTTCTTCATAGAAAAACCTGAACAAAACATTAATACATGTCCTGAACATTATTTGTACTTGTCATCTGCAATGTTGCTAAAGACAACAACTCCCATGATCCCTTGCTGCTTATCGACATCATCAAACGAATGATAATTACATATTGTGAGTTCAAATGTCATCAAGGAACAGATATATAACAGATTTGATATATTTGTACTGGTCAATTAGGGGATGAATAAGTTTACATATAAGGGTTGTACAGGATTTCAGTGCCATGACATATTTTTTCAGTTTGAAACACTGGGTGAAATAAATGAGGCTGCAGAAAACTGACCAATGTCTGTAAATTTTATATACAGAAAGTTTCCTGTTTAGTCTGAGTGATATGCATTCCATCATTCTGTCTAAT